CCTGTTCTAACAGGTACTGCAGTCTGCAGGAACTCACATGATGGATCTGATTTTGCAGTGGTCTGCAGTCATCTCCAGGTCCTTCACCTTCCCCTTTGGAATCTGGAGAGCCTGCTCTCTTCCAATGTGCTGAGAACATTTATTAAAACAGATTGATTCAAAGTTTTCTATCTAAGGAAAACCAGTTGATTGCATCGACTCATTGACTCAAAGGCAATCCCTCACACTAAGCATGCTTGTAGCGACAGTGGAGAGTAAAAACTCCCTTTTAACAGGAAGAAACCTCCAGCAGAATCAGGATCAGTGTGAGCGGCCATCTGCCGAGGCCGACTGGGGTTCAAGGAGACAGAAGCAGAGATACAAAAAGCAGCTGTAAAAGGCGGCCCCATTCAGGAAACACCCAGCCAGGCAGACAATCTTCAAGCCAGCTCCCATGTCAGAGGATGAAGAGAGAGAGTCCAGCCAGTTACGGTCAGAGAAACAGGACTACACTGGAAAACAGGCCGATCTCCAGCATCTATAAACAAGGGTGTTGATGGAAGCAGCACAGCTGATGTTTCTCTCCAGGATGGCTTCACAGCCAAACAGGAACAGACGAGGCAAAGCTACTATGACAAAAGGCAGAGAGAGCAGAACGTTAGAGATTGAACTGACAGATTCTGCAGAGTAGGAGAATAGAGAGAGAATGAAGCAGAATGATGAAATGGGGGTCCCTATGTCCTCCAGCAGTGTAAGCCTATAGCAGCATAACTATAAAGATAGCTCAGGTTAACCTGAGCCACTCTAACTATAAGCTTTATCAAAAATTGAAAGTTTTAAGCCTAGCCTTAAAAGTAGACAGGGTGTCTGCCTCACGGACTAAAACTGGTAGTTGGTTCCACAGGAGAGGAACCTGATAACTAAAAGATCTGCCTCCCATTCTACTTTTAGAAATTCTAGGAACCACTAGTAAACCAGATTGAGAACGAAATGCTCTGTTAGGAACATAAGAAACAATCAGATCTCTGATATAAGATGGAGCTTGGCCATTTAAGGCCAATGCCAATAAGGCCAATGAAGAGAAGCCAGGATAGGAGAGATATGATCTCTCTTTTTGATTTTCATCAGAACTCTGACTGCAGCATTTTGGATCAGCTGAAGGCTTTTAACTACAGTTTGTAGAATTCCGGATAGTAAAGAATTATAATAGTCCAGCCTTGATGTAACAAATGCATTGACTAGTTTCTCACCATCCCTGGACAGGATATTTCTCATTTTTGCAATATTCCTCAGATGAAATAAGGAAATTCTAGAAACTTCTTTGATATGGGATTTAAATAACAGGCCCTGATCAAAAACAAAACAACAAGATTTTTTCACTTTATTATCTGAAATCAGTTTAATCCCATCCAAATGAAGTGACTGGCTAATCAGCGTACTTTTCAAAGACTCTGGTCCAAAGACTATAACTTCTGTTTTGTCTGCATTCAGAAGGAGAAAGTTAAGAGTCATCCAGGTTTTATGTCTTCAAGACATGCCTATCTATGTAATGGGTTAGCTTCATCTGGATTTATAGACAGATATAGCTGGGTATCATCTAGCCTGACGTAGTCCGACTCAATTCTAGTCAGAATATGAGTCTGATGCTGCTCCATAGAGCTGTGATTATGGGGCGTGTTTCGAACGAACCAGGAAAGAAAATGCCTCTGCACTCAATTGGATAGATCTACAACCAATAAGAGCAACGGAGTGCGTGACGTATGTTAAGCGAGGCATAGCTGTTGTCCACAAAAATCAAAGCGTGCAGTTTCACGCCTAGAATAAGGAGATGAGACTTGATCGCGTTTCTCTGTTCCTCTTTTAAAATTATTTTGCTGTCGATATCTTCTAGAACAGACCTAATAGCAGAATCTACTCACCCAAACTCTCCAGCGGCAGCCATTATTGTTGTCACCCAAGCGCGCTTTGGTCACGTGGTTGATTACGTTACACTTGATCATCTGTCCATCATCGTATAAAGCCCGCCCTGACAATTTGATTGGATCGCCTAACAGTGGGCGATAATACTCGCGCTACTATGGAGCAGAGCCAGACCGAACTTCCCCGAACTCAAACCTTTTGGGCGGGACTAAGTTCGGACTGGCACCCAGGCTAGGTATCATCAGCATAACAGTGAAAATTATTGAGATAAGCAGCGAGGAAGTAGAGCCCTGATAACATAACAAAATATGTCAATTCCAGTGGGGCTAAACCTCTTAGGGGGTCAATGGAGCAGTGGTGGGTCATGAAGCTGGTTGCTTGAGGGAAAAGTGATCATTCAGTCAGAACAGTCGTCTTGTGCTTAATACTTGCCATGGTTTCTGGAGTTTATTATTTCGGAGCGCTTCACAAGAGCTTTATTCACCAGTTATAGTAATACTTTTTATGTGTTTTAACATTTTCTCAATGCAATATGTGACTTTTGATCAGGGGAAACTGGTTGGACTGAATCCTGACCAAGAAATGGCTTCTCTGTCGGATACTAAGAAAAACTACATTCACAGAACGGTACCAGAGGAAAGATGAGGAAGTGAAAGTAAAAAAAAAAGACCTGACACACACAAAGGAAGTGTTAATCCAACTTCAACCAAATACACAGAAATACCTGCATAAAAACTCTTACTTTAGAGTAATAAATAGAAAATGTCCTTATTATACAGTTCATCCAGAACATATCTGCAATGTTATTCTAAATGGAATTCAATAAATCGTTATAATCTAAACCCTACACATACCTCATTATACAGTGTTTATTATATAGAAAATTTATTCAATATTAAAATCTAAAAAACAAAATCCCATTTATGAAATTATCCACAGCTATTGCTTAAAAGTTTATGATCTTTAGCAGCAATTCCACACATTTTTTGGAGCTGATGGACACTCAGCTTAGTTCCAATATTTTTTGGCCATTCCTGTTTGCAGAGCATCTCAGGCTACATCAGGTTTGATAGGAAACAGTTGAGCAGCTGTTTTGGTTCTAATCCACTCCTTTAAGATCCTGGATGTGGTCAATGACCCAGTCTGAGGCAAAGTATTCTCTGGAAAAAGTTTTATTCCAGGATGTCTCTTTACATTGCTGTATTCATCATCCCCTTTATTCTGACTAGAGTGCCTTTTCCGTCTGCTGAGAAACATCCCCATAGCATGATCCTGCCACAAACATGCTTCATTGCAGGGATGGTAATGTGTCGAGGATCAGCCATACCTGGTTTCCTCCATACATGATGCCTGATATTTACACCAGAGTTGAACCAATGTAATCTCCCTCAACATCAGCTACATACTACCAATACTGCTCCTCAGCATGGCTTTTTAATTCTCTCTGCTTCCTCCCCTAATCTGACAAGCTGGTCTGATTCAGAGCAAAGATATCCCTCACACTTTTAATAGTCCAGCTCTTTCATTTTAGGACTCTATATTTAAATTTAAATTTCTCCACTGTGAGATCAATAAAGTCAATCAATTCTGAATGAATGTATTAATTATCCAAAAGGGTTAACAAACCAGGGTCCAGAACAGGAAGTATAGTTGTAGTTTCAATTTAAAACACCTTTCTTCAGCTTCTCTACTGTTACCTTCAGATAATGTATTTATAAAGGTCAAATCAAATCAATTAGAACGGGTAGACATTAAATGGGGAAACCATAATCGATTTAAAATTAAGAAAACAATTAAAAAAATGTATTTCTCCTTAATGAATTTGTCAATTAATAACTTGATTTGGTAAAATCAGACTGATTTATGTTGTCTTTCAGGAACTGTGCTGCTGCAAGATGCTTATGTCAGCATAATAGAGGCAATTCCCTCTAATCGTTTAAATTCTAGCATGCCAAGGAATTGTACGTATCAGGCCCTTACTCTACATTTTTTACATTAGTTTTCAGACTTCCTATCTGATTTTGTTTTTTCAATACTGACACAGTAATTATAGCGAGAGATTTTTAAAAATCGTGCTAATGTCAGAGGGTTGGGTCTTGTCTCTATGCCTCCTATTAGACATTATTTTACCTGTGAGTCAGGGGGTCAAATCCCGCCTGGGCCCATTATGTACCTTACCACACTAATATGAAAGGTTAAAGCTTAAATCAAGCTGTTAAAGGTATAGTGGAGGATGTTCTTTTTCCAGGGTGATCATCTAAATAAGCAGTCCTCCTAATTGTCAATCATTCAGGTGATATTTTTAGTTAAAAGGCCCTCTTTTGTGCTTGTTACCAATTAGCTATCTTTTTTTAAGCTATCTTTTTTTCAGATGTATATGTGTGGTGAGCTCCAGTTTCAGACAATCATTGAAGCTTGCCTTTCTCGTTGTGGTTCTACAAAATTGGCAGAGGGTCGTAAGAGAAAAAGTGTCTACGAAATGTTTGAGAAGAAAAGAAAGGCCTCAGAAGAGGCAGATATATCCCAGAATGCTTTGTGTGGAGAGCTTTCCTCGCAAAGCTGTCACAGCAGCCTGCTGCTGTCATAGGCTGTCGCTACACGACGAAGGTGACTAATAACAAAGATGGCGCAAGCACCGCACAGTGGAGGCGGAATTACGTAGCCAACAAGGAGCAGAAAGTAGTGATCATCTGCTCCAATGGTCAGTTAACCGAGTTCACTATGAAGTCCACTATATAGCCCCTGCTCTTTATGGTGATAGAGGGATTTAGAGCGGATGTTTGGACACAGTGAGCTTCTATGAGCGATGCGAAAAGCAACTTTTAAACGGAGCATGCACCAGGAGAAATTGACTTGTGCATACTTTTGCACATGTTTAATAGGCGTTCCCTCTCGGGAGCAGGTAAAGCCTCACATGACATTCCTCTCTTTAATATTCCTCCTTGTTAGGCTTATGAGATATATTAATTAGAGGAGTGACCAATTCATTCAATGTAAGATCTTCTCATAAAAATGAACAGAATGAAAGATTTAAAATCTATCAGTATGTGTGAAACTGATCTGTGTGATATCTGGAAATAAAAGAAATTAAGGAATTTTTGATACAAAATTTTTTATTTTGTTAAAAGAAAATTTTAAAATTAGTCTGTAATAAAATACACAGGACAATAAATACAAAAATAAAGCTTTCATTTGGAAATGAGTAACTTTGTTGAGTAAACAGCTTAAAAAAAGAGCTAAACATGAGCACCACTTATTATCTGAGAGAAATTTTACAGAAACATGTTTGACTGCAAACAAAACTAAAGCAAGGATGAAGAAGAATCCAAAGTTTCCATAAAATCATGAAATCAGATTGTTAATGAGCCGATTAGTGACCCGTCCAGTTTGTCATCACTGATAATTATGACAGATGGTATTTTGAATATCACTTCTAATTCAGAGAAAATCACAAAGGCTTTTAGTCAATAAAACAAACAATATAATAAATTCAAGGATCTTAGGCACAAGTACATATTAAAAAGGGGAACTAATAAAAAAATAAAAGCAAAATATCAAAGATATAAATGAAAACATGGTTTCTTTTTAAATTATTATTTATACTCTTAACAAATATGGTTCTGGCCTGGATTCAAGCTTCAGTGGAGTTTTCTTTTCCCAAACTCTTTCTGTAATTTCTTCGTCCAGCTCCTGGTTGGATTAAGGCAGATCTGTTTTTCACTCACAGTGGTGACTCTGCAAGTAAACAACATGCAGAAGTTTCAGAACACACAGCTTCTAATTCAGAACACAACATGAGCCTCAAGGTCTGAGTCCATCAGCAGCCAGAAACAAAGTTTCAGCACCAGATACTGAGTCCCCTGGTGTTTATAGAGAAAGATGAAAAGATGCTTGAAAACTGTAGGGAGTGCATGTGGACCATGGAGGACCATGGCACCCTGTTCTAACAGGTACTGCAGTCTGAAGGAACTCACATGACGGATCTGATTTTGCAGTGGTTTGGAGACATCTCCAGGTCCTTCACCTTCCCTCTTGGAATCGTCATATTACTGTAATGTAAACAGCAGGGACCGTTGGACCCACCCACCTCTAGAGCCACTGGACCTGAGGAAGCAAAAGCAACTTTAGATACCGACCCGGTTCAGACCCACCCAGCAGACAGGAGACTCAGGCAAAGTTCTTTACCTGCAGAGCTGGACCGCAGTAAGTAGAGGAAAGTCAGGAGGCAGAGAGTCAGAAGGATCTTCATGGTTTCTGGACTGATGTTCTGTTGTCTGGATGGAGGTGTAGAAGTCTGTGAATGACCGATCTGATCTGCAGGGTTTATATTCAGCTGATATTTCCACCCCCTGTCATTAAACAGTTGTGTTCTCAGAAAGCAGCATGTTTCCTTCCTCCTCTGCTTCTGCTTCTTCTTTCTCACTCATTGATGTTTTCCACTAAAATGTTCACAGAACCTGCAGGGATTTTTATCCTGCTTAAAGCTCCAGGAATTTGTCTCAGATATTATATTTCTTTTTATTTGCTGTAAAACTGCAACATCTGCAGAGTTTCAGCACCATCTGACTAGTTTCTCAGCATCATTCCTGGACAGGATATTTTTCATTTTTGCAATATTCCTCAGATTAAATAAGGAAATTCTAGAAACCTCTTTGATATGGGATTTAAATAACAGGTCCTGATTAAAAACAACACCAAGATTTTTTACTTTATTATCTGAAATCAGTTTAATCCCATCCAAATGAAGTGACTGGCTAATCAGCATATTTTTCAAAGACTCTGGTCCAAAGACTATAACTTCTGTTTTGTCTGCATTCAGAAGGAGAAAGTTAAGAGTCATCCAGGTTTTTATGTCTTCAAGACATGCCTGTAATCTATGTAATGGGTTAGCTTCATCTGGATTTATAGACAGATATACACTATATTGCCAAAAGTATTTGCTCACCTGCCTTGACTCACATATGAGCTTAAGTGACATCCCGTTCCTAATCCATAGGGTTCAATATGACGTCGGTCCACCCTTTGCAGCTAGAACAGCTTCAACTCTTCTGGGAAGGCTGTCCACAAGGTTTAGGAGTGTGTTTATGGGAATTTTTGACCATTCTTCCAGAAGCGCATTTGTGAGGTCGCACACTGATGTTGGACGAGAAGGCCTGGCTCTCAGTCTCCGCTCTAATTCATCCCAAAGGTGTTCTATCGGGTTGAGGTCAGGACTCTGTGCAGGCCAGTCAAGTTCATCCACACCAGACTCTGTCATCCATGTCTTTATGGACCTTGCTTTGTGCACTGGTGCACAGTCATGTTGGAAGAGGAAGGGGCCAGCTCCAAACTGTTCCCACAAAGTTGGGAGCATGGAATTGTCCAAAATGTCTTGGTATGCTGAAGCATTCAGAGTTCCTTTCACTGGAACTAAGGGGCCAAGCCCAGCTCCTGAAAAACAACCCCACACCATAATCCCCCCTCCACCAAACTTTACACTTGGCACAATGCAGTCAGACAAGTACCGTTCTCCTGGCAACCGCCAAACCCAGACCCGTCCATCAGATTGCCAGATGGAGAAGCGCGATTCGTCACTCCAGAGAACGCGTCTCCACTGCTCTAGAGTCCAGTGGCGGCGTGCTTTACACCACCGCATCCGACGCTTTGCATTGCACTTGGTGATGTATGGCTTGGATGCAGCTGCTCGACCATGGAAACCCATTCCATGAAGCTCTCTGCGCACTGTTCTTGAGCTAATCTGAAGGCCACATGAAGTTTGGAGGTCTGTAGTGATTGACTCTGCAGAAAGTTGGCGACCTCTTCGCACTATGCGCGTCAGCATCCGCTGACCCCGCTCCGTCAGTTTACGTGGCCTACCACTTCGTGGCTGAGTTGCTGTCGTTCCCAAACACTTCCATTTTCTTATAATACAGCTGACAGTTGACTGTGGAATATTTAGGAGCGAGGAAATTTCACGACTGGATTTGTTGCACAGGTGGCATCCTATCACAGTTCCACGCTGGAATTCACTGAGCTCCTGAGAGCGACCCATTCTTTCACAAATGTTTGTAAAAACAGTCTGCATGCCTAGGTGCTTGAATTTATACACCTGTGGCCATGGAAGTGATTGGAACACCTGATTCCAATAATTTGGATGGGTGAGCAAATACTTTTGGCAATATAGTGTAGCTGGGTATCATCAGCATAACAGTGAAAATTATTGAGATAAGCGGTGAAGAAGTAGAGCCCTGATCTGATAACATAACAAAATATGTCAATTCCAGTGAGGCTAAACCTCTTAGGGGGTCAATGGAGCAGTGGCGGGTCATGAAGCTGGTTGCTCGAGGGAAAAGTGATCATTCAGTCAGAACAGTCGTCTTGTGCTTAATACTTGCCGTGGTTTCTGGAGTTTATTATTTCAGAGCGCTTCACAAGAGCTTTATTCACCAGTTATAGTAATGCTTTTTATGTGTTTTAACATTTTCTTAATGCAATATGTGACTTTTGGATTTATTCAACAACATTGAGCCTTCCCTGTATTAGAGAGCAGCAGCCGCCACTGCTCATTAGTGACACCTCTTCCCTGCAGATGCCCTGTTTAAACCGTTGCATTCAAAGAAGCTTTGCAGAACCATCACAGACTGACAGACTGGAGACACTTCGTTACCTGCAGCCATCTAAGCCATCTTTCCCGTCTAGAGTCCAACTCACTCCTTCTTCTGGAACTTATTCATCAGCCCTACAAATAGATTTTATCCCATGTTCTGTTCTTTTGTTTTCAATTTTTGTGCTGTGAAATATATGAGATCGCCCAAATCATCAAAATATGATACATGATAATGAAGAATATTCTGGTTCTTTTTCGTTTTCTTCTGGTTCTTTTTGATCAGGGGAAACTGGTTGGACTGAATCCTGACCAAGAAATGGCTTCTCTGTCGGATACTAAGAAAAACTACATTCACAGAACGGTACCAGAGGAAAGATGAGGAAGTGAAAGTAAAAAAAAAAGACCTGACACACACAAAGGAAGTGTTAATCCAACTTCAACCAAATACACAGAAATACCTGCATAAAAAACTCTTACTTTAGAGTAATAAATAGATATTATACAGTTCATCCAGAACATATCTGCAATGTTATTCTAAATGGAATTCAATTAATCTTTATAATCTAAAGCCTACACACACCTCATTATACAGTGTTTGTTATATAGCAAATTTATTCAACATTAAAATCTAAAAAACAAAATCCCATTTATGAAATTAACCACAGCTATTGCTTAAAAGTTTATGATCTTTAGCAGCAATTCCACACATTTTTTGGAGCTGATGGACACTCAGCTTAGTTCCAATATTTTTTGGCCATTTTTCATTGCAGAGCATCTCAAGCTACATCAGGTTCGATAGGAAACAGTTGAGCAGCTGTTTTGGTTCTAATCCACTCCTTTAGATCCTGGATGTGGTCAATGTCCCAGTCTGAGGCAAAGTATTCTCTGGAAAAAATTTTATTCCAGGATGTCTCTTTACATTGCTGTATTCATCATCCCCTTTATTCTGACTAGTGTGCCTTTTCCATCTGTTGAGAAAAATCCCCACCCTTCCACCAACATGCTTCACTGTAGATTTGGTATTGGGATGGGGATGAGCCATACCTGGTTTCCTCCATACATTATTCCTGATATTCACACCAGAGTTGAACATTTGTAAAGTCCCTCAATATCAGCTCCATACTACCAACAGTTTCCCTGAGCACACCTTTTTAATTTTCTCTGCTTCCTCTCCTAATCTGACAAGTGATAACATGTTTAGCCATGTGTTATCATTTAGGTGGCGCCCTGAAAATTGGCAAACTTTTGGGGAAAAGCTTGTCTGATTCACAGTGAAGATATCACTCCACTTTTAATAGTCCAGTTTTCGGATTCTGAATAAATGTGGAATCCGCTTATAGTGGTCACGGATAATCAACCGCTTACAGTGTTCAAAATGCTTGGGACAGAATAATTTCTATACAAATGCTGTTTATATATATACTGTATATATAATGTAATCAAAGTTGCATGGTACTGTAATAAAATTATTAAGCTCTCCGTTTAATTTCATTTTTCTCATTGAAAAACCACACAAATGGCATTTAGATGATATTCTGATATGATCGTACGTATCTAAAAGTCCTGAGATAATAGTTGACAATAAAGTGTGTGAGCACCCTTTGAAAACTTTCGGTCGGGTTCAATAGTTCATCATAGCACTGAAATACTAGCTTAAGTCACTAATTATTATTAACTTGGATAATTGCTTACAACATGCTTTTGAAAATAAGGGAACTGCACTACAGTGAGCTGTAAGCTCGTTTAAATCGTACTTTTCAGTTTGTACATTCTCTCTTTCATCCTTTTTGACATCAGAACTGGCTCAGAGTTTATTTGCTTAACTGTGTCTTTTGTAGACAGAGTAAGTTTTTGAGTGTAGTTATAGCCACCTTTCCTAACAAAGAAAGCAATTCTTTGCCTCTATGTTCTTTTTCAGTGTCTGCTTCTGTCTTCTTAAATCCCCAGCTGGCCTCGACAGAAAGCTGCTAGAAAGCGGTTAGTTCTGCTGGAGGTTTCTTAATGTTTTAAAGGAGTTTTTCCACTCTCGGTGCATGCATGCTTGGTGGGAGAGTCAGTAAAACAAGGCAAGCAAATGTCCACAGTTGTCACACACTCATCCAGGAGAAGCTAATCCTACAAATAATTGGATGAACTGCTATGCTGCAGTTTGCAATTTGATGTAAGGAGGCACTGAACCAGACTTTCTGAAAGAGATTGATATTTGTTTAAATGAGAAGTATTTTACTGATATTCTTCTTCAGGATTTTTTTTTCTAACTCTGTGGTAAAATATGGATTTCCAGGTATTTCTGTGTTTGGTGGAAGGTGGGAATATGTGTGCTGTGTCAGCTCTTTTCTTTTCTGCTTTCACTTCCTCGTCTTCCCTTTGCAGCCATTCTGTGAATGCTGTTCTCGGTATATGAAAGAGAAATCTTTTTTTTGGCTTAGGATTCAGTCTTGGTTTGACCTGGGAAATATTTATTTCCAGGATAAAAACAATTTAAGTTTCTAGACTGAATAGGTGATATGTTCATAGAAAAGACCTCCTGCTGTAGCTTTTATTAACATGTAGGCATTGATTCTATTGGATTCGTTTTTGAACCCTGTGGCCTGAATGTGGCGGTGCTGCTGATTAACAAAATGTCTGTCTCTGTCAATCAGTCCTTCATCTGTTTCTCATTGTTGTGTGTGTGGTTACCCTCAACCCATTCCACTTTGGTTTCTGCTTGTGGAGGTCATGTAGGGTAAATGCTCGACAGAGAGGTGCACTGCGTAATACTATTAAAGTAAAATTAACAGTTACCCTTCAAAATAAGACTCTTCATAGTTTACACCAGCGATATAATTTGACATAACTTTTAGATAAGACTGTTCTACATGATGAGCAGGAAACAAATAATGAAAGGGGATTTTATGTCTTTCAGTACAGCAGCTGCAAAAGATTTTATTGGTTTATTATTGCGAGGCTTTAAAGTCGTAGTGAAGTCATGTTTAAATTTCAAATCATTCTGGCTTAAAGATGTATATAAACGTGTTCTTTTTCTGACCATATTGTCCCAAAAGTTAGAAAATTTCTATTTCTAAAAAAATCCTGTCTTAAAATCTATCAAAATCATGGCGTCCTCTTCCACAACATCTTCGTCCCACTTTCCTCCTCTAAATAAAAAAAGTATGACGGAGGAGACTCATCCATGACCTCCGACACAAAACTCCTCCTCTTGCATGTTTCCTCTGTCCATAGCGTTCCTCGACAGTGTTGTTGCTAAGTGCTTCTTGGTCCCAATGTAATTTCCCATTGTGAACCTACTAGCACTAAGCTTCCTGGATGGGAAGCGAAACGTCTTCAAACTTGGAAGCCAAGCCCAGTGGATTGTTTTTTTAATTTTTTTGGAATGCCTACCTGGATGATTGAGAACCTTCACCAGCACTCGGTGTATACAAAATGACAATAAAAATGTCTAAATCTAATAGGTAGAACCGGCCTAACCACGCTCCACTGGTCATCAACAGCTCAGCTGTAGAGGTGGTCAACAGCACCAAATTTCTGGGGGTGCACATCACAGACACCCTAACCTGGAATGTAAACACCACCTCACTGATCAAAAGGGCACAGAAGCGCATGTACTTCTTGCGGAGGATGAAGAGAGCCCACCTGTCCCCATCCCCTACCTTCTGCAGAAGCACCATAGAGAACGTTCTGACCAGCTGTCTCACTGTGTGGTGTGGAGGCTGCAGCGGCTCAGACTGGAAGAAGGTGAGAAGAGTAGTAAGAACAGCAGAAAAGATAATTGGGGCTCCTCTTCAGGGGCGGAGCTAGATGGGGGGCCAGGGGTGGCCATGGCCTCCCTTAACCAATCATTCGCCACCCCTACCATTGTTTCTCTCTAATACAGATGGTGCCAGCAGTAATACTCTCAAGTGGAATATTCAACACATTAAAATTTTTCATATATTAACAATTACTTGACAACAATAAGACTGTGGTTAATTATGCACATTAGAATACGGACATTGAAGGCGACAATTCATGCTCTTTTCAGAACTACATTTTGTATTATATGGGGTAAAGATAAAATTATGTCTCTGAAAGCCGTCTAGGAGTCTTCAGTGAAATCATAGATAAATAACTATTTTAATAAAAACTTAATAATCAATTTATGTAGATATTGGTACTTGTAAATATCAATTTTATGCAAAATGATTGTTGATAAAAGTAGGTAAGTAATGACAAAGAAAGAGATGTTTGTCCCAGAACTCAAAGCTGAAAGAATTTTGTTAACAATACCTTTTATCTAGAAAGCACGGATGTTTAAATATATATGCATCTATTTGTTAGCAAAGGTTGTAGGAAAGTATAGTTTGTCTTTATTTAAATATTGATGTTATGTCATTACTTTTCCTGTTGGGACTATGTTTCTCGGCTGGCCTGGGAGCACCTTGGGATTGGATGGATGGATGGATGGATGGATGGATGGATGGATGGATGGATGGATGGATGGATGGATGGATGGATGGATGGATGGATGGATGGATGGATGGATGGATGGATGGATGGACTTTTCCTGTTGGAACAGTGAAGACTGACCCTGATGTTCTGGCGCATATCCACTTTTGGCCACCCCTCAGTGTACATTGGTTATTGCCTGGCCACCCTCATAAAAATTTTCTAGCTACGCCTCTGCTCCTCTTCCCTCCATTAAAGACATTTCATCCCAGCGCTGCGTGTCCCGAGCCCATAACATCATCAATGACCCCGCACACCCCCATCATGGACCGTTCTCCCTGCTGCCCTCTGGGAAGAAGCTTTGAAGCATTCGATGCAGGTCCAACAGATTCCAGAACAGTTTCTTTCCCCACTGCCATTAGACTGCTGAATGTTTTTTAAAATTGGTTATTTTATTTATATTCATCCATCCCTTTTCTTACATGCTTAATCCCAAGTGGGGTCGCGAGGGGTGCTGGTGCCTATCTCCAGCTGTCAATGGGCGAGAGGCAGGGTACCCCCTGGACAAGTCGTCAGTCCATCGCAGGGCAAAACAGAGACAAACAGGACAAACAACTATTCATGCACACACTCACACCTAAGGACAATTTGGAGAAGCCAAGTAACCTAACAGTCATGTTTTTGGACTGTGGGAGGAAGCCGGAGTACCCAGAGAGAACCCCATGTACTGGAAATATACAGTCAAATGTTTATATTACTATTTCTTATGTATTTATTACTGTTTTCAAGTCTGCACTTTAAAAAATGAAATTGTCTAGAGCTGTTTTAAACGAAATTTCTTTTTGTATACATACTTTAGTATACAAAATAAGCAGGTGAAAGGTACTTCAACGATTCAAACACTAGATGGCGCTCAGATTCTTGAAGTATCCCCCTTAACGTTAGCAAAACACGCACCAAATGTTACTGAATCTGAGCGCGTGAGACATTGCAAACTTTGACCTCAACATAATTTTTCTACTGTATGCGTTTTTTTAATATCGTTTAATATTCTATTATATTTCATTTTTTAATGGAAATAATTAGAACGTCATAATGTGTTGCGTTTGATGGAGCAGGAAGGGAGAGTATCGTCCAGCCAGCTATAGGGTTTGAGCTGCCTGCCTGCTGGAGAGAATCCATCCCAGAAACAAACCGCCCCCTCCCACTCTGAACGCCCCCGCTTCAGATGGAACTCAAAATACATTAATCCTCCATGTTGCACAGGGAATGTCGGGCCACCAGATGTGAAACGCCGTTTTAAAAAGTCCGGTCGAGCAACTTGTGAGTAATTAATGCGCGTTTTTGGACGGACACCAATTCCCTTTAACGGGCTTCCGAGTGTTTTCAGCGCTGTTCCAGACTCGGCCTCGTATTGGATAATCGATGCTAACAGGCTAACGCTAGCTGCTTGCCGACCTAACTTAGTTTGGACTTTAAGGTCGGGTTTTATTTCATTTTTTACACATATATACATATATATTTGGACAGCGGCATTACTGAGGCGGCTGATAATTTCTTGCTTAAAGCGAAATATATTTTTTTCTTTCGGACAGCCATAAATGACATCCTCCAGTCAGCGCCGTGCTAGCTGGCTGGCTCCAACCGCTGCTCCTCAGACGGTTTCCTGGCTTTGTGGCCACAGGCTGCTAGCTTAGTGGAGCTAGCTACAACGAAGCGGGCGCGTTATCGCGAATAACATTGCTGCAAAACGAAACAGGAATAGAAACCCGTCTCAATGGACCACATGTCCATAATAACTCAAGTCCCCAACCCGAAGGAGGAGGAAATAATATCTTTCAACCAAGAAAAAGGTAAGGAGAACTCTACTAAAGGAATAGATGTGTGTAACTACTTTTATTTGCGTTTACTGGTTGTTGTGAAGTCACTGAGCTTTGACAGCTCTATCACAACAGCTGCAGAGTAATTATTATGTACGCAACAAGCTCAGTTAGCCGCCCTCTGTTTGGACCTCAGGTTTAGCTTTATTTTAAGTGCCATAAAAGCACTCTGATGAGCTTTTTTTAACCTTGTAAGTTGCTCAAAGTGAACACTGAGTGTTTGCAGGGTAACACTTAACGTGCTTTATGTGAATTGTGGATTAATAAACGGCTTATCTAAGTGTATCACAAAAAAACACTAGAATGTAAATGACGGAGGAGGAGAAGGATGTAGGGATGCATTTTAGTGATGGGAAAACATACCATTTTACTTAACTACTTCTGATTTGTACCTTACATTCATAAATTCATTATTATTATTATTATTATTATTATTATTTCCATATTCATCTAGAATATTCCCCATGTCTTAATTTACTCAATAATTTTATTTAGGTTTTAGAATGAGATAAAGGTCATAGATCTAAGCTTAAAGTGAAATGTGTACTTTTTTTTTCTCTCAAACAGTGACCCTACAACACTTTTATGTTCTCTCTTCTATGTTTATACTCAAGAAAGTTGATCATAGATGAGATTAGTTTCAACTTTATTGTCATTGTACAGGTACAAGGCAACAAACTGCAGTTTAGCTCTAACCAGAAGTGCAATAGCAGCAAGTACAGGATATACAAAGCTATTGATTATCTCAGCTAATAAGTGATATGTTTCATTTACTGGTATAAAAAATAAAAGGTAGATGCATTGTTATCATGGAAATGGAAGAGTGTGGAAAATGTGGGATGGACATAAGCAGTTTTTGTTTTATCACTATTTCATTTTTTTTTGTGTGTGTGTGTGTGTGTGTGTGTGCATGTTATGCTCCATGTAAATGTTTGGCTTAACACCTTTTATGGTATTTTGGAATTAACAATAGTAATATTGATATTATACACTGAGCCTGGTTCTGCTGGAGGTTTCTTCCTGTTAAAAGGGAGTTTTTCCTCTCCACTGTCGCTACAAGCATACTTAGTGTGAGGGATTGCTTTTGAGTCAATGAGTTGATGCAATCAACTGGTTTTTCCTTAGATAGAAAACTTTGGATCGACTGTATGATCTGTCGAACTGTAGAGAGCCTTGAGATGACGCCTATTGTGAATTGGCGCTATATAAAAGAACTGAATTTAATAATAATAATAATAAGTCAATGATCTCAACTCCAGATAGACCTTCAATTATGTTCTGGATCAGTACCGCTGTCTCTGTTTTAAATGGGAACATAATTTTTTTGTATTTAAGATCACCAACCCTGTGGTTTGGCTTCATAGATGCCTGTGGCCCAACGTGACATACTTTTTTCTATTTTTTTAATACTCTTTGGAGGTTTAAAAACAAAACCTTCAAGCACTTATCGTAAATATACATTAGATGTACATAATGGAAAATAACTGCTTTACAAAACCTGTGCATACCTCAGTCTGGAAAATATGAATATATTGCAGGTGCAATGTAGCTACATATAATTTCATAAATGATAACTCAAGTTTACACTCCCAAGTTCCTTGCATATTTGTTTGTTTCTACTTTAAACTGACTCCTTTTTATCGTCCGTTGTTTTGTTATAAATAGCCAGTCACCCAGTGAACACCAAAGATAGTAACAAAGGGGCTTTTACACTTTAGAAACATTATATTTTTCAGGTAAATAAAGATCGGCTGTGATTGTTGTTTAGTAACTGTTCTCAAACACGGGTGTTACCTTAGTGTGGGTCAGTAGTAGGGGCGAGTATTGGCATGTGTGTTGCGATACGATACGTGTCACAATACTTGGGTCACTATATGATAGTATCACAATATTGCAATATCACTTTGTGATATATAGATAAAAATGCAAATGCTCTATATGTTAATCAGAATCAATGTTGTTTCTGGTTTGAGTCAATTCACATCTTCTACTGTGAATGCCTTAACTACAGAAATGGTGCTGCACAGCAAAAAGGCTCCAAGGTGCAGAGGCCCATTTTCACTCACTGTTTTTGGTTGGAAAAAAAATTATTATTTTATTTTTATTTTTTTTTTTGAAAATTGATATTAGGAACTGAAAGATCAATATTATATTGGGCAGCTGAAAATCACAACATGTCGCCAAATCGATTGTTTTCCCCCACCAGCTAATAAGTAGCTCATGTTACTGTTTTATCAGATCATTAGTAAAGTGAGAACTAAAGTTATTTGTAGCACAACAGTGTATTTTTCTGTGAGAGTACGCATTGATCCATCAGTATCTAAGGTGTGACTGGTACGTGTCTGGACTTCAGAGATGACGATAAGAGGTATATGAGACTTTAGGAAGATTAACATTGCAGGTGGGATTAAGCTTAAGACAATTTCTCACTTTATGATAAGGCGATAGACCGGCTAGTAACTTACTGTAAGGCAACATGTAGAGACTAGTATTTTCCAAGGAAATGGTATTAGTCTTTTTTTTTTCTTGAATCGATAACATGAAATATTCAAATTTTATTCATTAGTTTTTTCCCCAGACTTTTTTTCATCATCAAATATATAACATCACAGAAGCTGTTCTGTTTACTGCCAGGTTGAGTCAGAGTTTTTGGGAGCAATTAAAAACTGTTTTATGTTTTTTGTAACCTGCAGTCAAACATTTTTTAGAAAAATTAAAAGTCAATTAAAGTTTGATAATTGCCAAGTAGAAGGCAGGAAATATTCACTCATTGATTTGTAAAGATCAAGCTTTAATGTGATTGGAGTTGTATTGTTGTGCTGGTCCTTAAGTCTCTTGGTTTTTTTTCTGCTGTTCTTAGTTAGGGTTTGTGTCAGACTCAATTTATGACGCAGAGCTTTCTAACACCAGACGTTTTATACTGACCATATGTTTACAAGTCTGCTGTAAAAAAAAATGTGGTTATGTGACTCCAGTAAGTCTTATCTACCAGCTAAAGGTCACTCTGTTGTTTTGATTTGATCAGGGGTCAGAATCTCTCTTTTTTTTTTTTTTTTTTTCTCCATAGTGGACAAAAAGCCAAACAACCACCCAAACATTTGATGGCAATAGAGATAAGGGAAAAAAGTCTCTAGATGACTAAAGCACAGTGAACATTTTAAGGGAGATAGTATTATCTTTTTATTTAACATATGTAGCTTATAAGAAAAGTGAACTGATATACAAGGGTTAATTACATCGATACAAAATGGCTTCAAATGGATTCAGAAATTTGGGTTCAAAGGGGCAAATTGACGCAGGAGCCGTCACAGTGCACACAGACTGTTTGGACTCACAGTTGTGCTGTTTGAAAATAGCACCTAACTAAGAGTGTGTAAAGCTGGACACAGTTAGGGGACAACATTCCTACCTTTCAAGGCTCCTTTTTTCTTTCCGCAGTGAGTCTTCCAGCTTTCTCTGCATGGAGTAAGTTGCCATAATAAAAAAATATCAGACTTGTTTTAGAGTTTGTTTTAAAAAGGTATAGTAAACTTAATATAATTTATTACAACTTTGGTTCCTGTGACGTAAAATGTGTCTGACATTAAAATTATCATTTTCTAAATATACATCGCCTTTTGTATCCAGACAAACACTGACAACCTTTGCTCTTAATCATACTGCGTGTGCAAGGTGGGGATTATGTATAATAAAGAGCAAATAGTTCTATTTATTTTATGTTGGAGTTTTTTTGTTTTGTTTTTGGCAATCTTAGAACAAACTTGTAGTCTTCTCCCGGAAAAGCAGATGGATTTTAGAAAAGCGGTATTTATGGATATCTGACTTCAGTGAGAACAGAGCCATTGAATGCTGTTTAGTAAACTTGGTAAACTGCAAACTTTTTGTTGTGTTTTTTTCTTTTAAAGAACTGTCATATAGAGAGCAAATGAATGATCTTCTGCAGACTCTTCTGCTGTAATCCAGTCATTCTGTGGGATTCTGACGAGCTGTAGATGAATGAATACTGTAGTGATGACTCACTGGAAGGGGACAGCTGCCTCACTTTCCCAGCTTTATTTTCTGCAGAGTTGAGACTGAGAGTCCAGTTGGATAAATAAAGACCTCTTTTTCCTGATGGAGGGTATTTTCAGGTTAAAAGGCTTACTATGGTTGGTTTTCACTTTCTTCTCTCTTCCCTATTTTCTCAAGAATTTACTTTAGATGTTAGGAAACATCATCTAGAAATAATGAAGAAGCTTAACAGAACATGCTTCTGCTTTAGGTTTGTTGACACACCTACATCAGCTCGAAGTTCTTGCTCCCTCACAGATTTATTCAGCTAATTTCCTTCACACTTAAAGTCATAGGGAAGACACATTTAAATGTCAAATAATTCTGGCTTGAACATGTATATAAATGTACTATTTATTAGACTATATTTTCCCAAAATTTAGAAAATTTCTATTTGAAAAAAATAAATAAAAATCCTGTCTTAAAATCTGTGTTGGTTTTTCCCCCACTATTTTATGCAGGCCACTTAGTTATACGTCAGCTTGTTCACCTAAATTTGGCCAATCCTATATCAATGGTTATCTGTCAATCAATTTTTTTCGGTCATAGCTTCTTGATTCATATGTCGCAGCTAATATACGCAACAGTTGAAATAAGAATAATTTACTTTACCATTCACTTGCGTCCCAGTGTTCACGGGGATGGCTGTTTGTGTCTTCGGCAGGCGTAGAGTTAACAGAACTGGCAGCGTTGCGAGACAAGGGCTCAAACATGTACGGCTGTAAGCCTTTTACACCAAACCAAGCTTCTACCGCCTTGGCGTCCTCTAAGCTAGGGTCGAAGTGCCTCCGTTGTCTCCATAATAAATACTATCCGAATAGTGCTGACAGTTGGGTAGGAGCTACAGTAAGACCAGTGATATGGATTATTTGTGTTAAGGGCAGATTAGACTTCTGCAACCGCACATATCAAATGTCGCTTGG